GTATGTGAGTCTGAGCTTGAAGATCCTTGTCTCCAAAGAGCAATTTGGCTTCATCCTCTCCGGGACAGGCCTGTTCATTTTCTTGGCAGTACACAGTATGTTCAATACTCTTCACCAGCCCTACAACTCAAAGGCATCAATTTTTCAGTCATCCTTAGTCATTGTCCAGCTCTGCATAGCAAGTAACTGTGAAGACCATGGCCTGGATCAGGCACACCTTAGTCTCCAGACTGATATTGTTGTTCTCCACCAGATTTTCCTAATGCAATTCAACTTCTGACTTCCTGACTGCTGGTACCAAAAGAGTACTGACTGTGGATCTGAGCAAGCTGAAACTGTTAACAATCTCAATCACCTCTCCCATCTGTCATGATGCTGCCAATTGGACCAGGAGAGAGAATCTTTATTTTCTTGATGTTGAACTTCAATTTATATTGAAGGCTATAGTCTTTGACCTTTTGCAGCAAATGCTTCAGGTTTTCCTCAGTTTCAGCAAGCAAGGTTGTGTCATCTGCGTAACACAAGTTGTTGATGAATCGTCCTCCAATCCCGATGCCACATTCCTCCTCAGGTCTAGCCCCTTGAGTGATCTGTCCTGCACATAGACTGAAAAAGTATGGAGACAGGACACATTTCTTCTGTTCTCATTTCCTGATTTTATACCATGCAGTGTTTCTTTACTTTCTTCTGATGACTGCTTCCTAGTTCAAGTTTCATATGAGCACAATCAAGTGTTCTGAGAGTCCCACTCTTCTCAAATGTAGTGCCAGGGGCCAGCATCACAGAAGTGACTGGAGGCCTGAGTCATTATATCAAGAGTCAGCATGGGGGTGGGGAGAGGAGAGCTGGCCAAACAAGGGGAGGGGCAGATGGAGTAGGAGTGGCAGGGACGGGTCCAAGGCACACACGCCAAAGTAGAAAGGATCAACATTGAATCTATCACTTAATTTCATAATGGGGAAGTATCTTTCTTCTGTTCTTTTGGATAAAATGTTTGTCTGTCAGATAATGTTCTAAAGCTGAGCATCCAAATTAAGACTGCTTAGGGAGAAGGACTAGCTATCCACTTCCAAAGTAACAGACTTCTGAAAACCCTATGCACAACAGAGCACATTTAGATTAGACTAGCATATATGGTTCCTAATTATAATTAATAAACATTTCTATTTAAGATTCCACATAAGAGTAAAGATAAGAGAAAAAGGCAGAACAGACTATCAAATTCTTGTGGATTGCAGTTATCCTGGAGCCTGAAAGTTGGATGAATCCCTAAACCCACTGCCCTAAGATGATCTTTAATCATAAACTAAAAATATTTCCTGAAGTTTTTTTCTCTCCTTATTGTGATCTAGGTAGAAATCTAAAAAATTTAAATTTGTTTTTAATGTAATCATTCATACACATTTTCTTTTATATAATAATAGTCATTCTTCCTTCACTTCCTCTCCGTATTTTGCTTTCACTAATATGTCCATCCTACCTCTTCCAGCTCTCAAGGCTTTATGGTTGAGAAGCTGTTACTCTTTTGACTTTATATGTAACTGGTCATAGTGAAAAGTGTAACTTGTCATCTTTAGATGTTGTTGTTGTGTGCCGTCGAGTCACTTGCGACTCACAGCGACCCTATGTACAACAGCCCTAAATTCTGCTCTACCCTATGCTAATCGCACTGTCTCCGATATACCCATCCCGATTACCCCAGTCACTGAATCAATCCACCTCATAGAGGGCCTTCCCCTCCTGCGATGTCCCCTCCACCCTACCAAGCATGATGTCCCTCTCCAAGGACCGGTCCCTCCTTGCAACATGTCCAAAGTATGTCAGACGAAGCCTCAGAATTGTTGTCTCCAAGGAGCAGCCCAGTTTAACCCTCTCCAGGTTGAACCTGTTTGTTTTCTTAGCAGTACATGGTACCCTCAACACTCTTCTCCAGCACCACAGCTCAAAGGCATCAATTCTCCATCTATCCTCCTTAGTCACGATCCAGCTCTCTGACGCACAACATGTGATTGCAAAGACCATGGCCTGTATCACACGCACCTTAGTCTCCAGAGAGACACCACTGCTCTTCAGTACTTTGGAGAGGTCCCTAACAGCAGACTTTCCCATCGCGATACGTTTTTTGATTTCCTGGCTGCTGGTGCCAAGAGTGTTGACCGTGGAGCCAAGCAAACTGAAGCTGTGAACAATCTCAATCTCTTCACCATCCATCCTGATGCTGCCAATAGGTCCAGGAGAACACTTGATCATACTAATGCAAAACATATACTTGGACCAAGAGGCAGTCATCAGAACAGAGCAAGGAAACACTGCATGGTTCAAAACTGGGAAGGGTGTACACCAGGGATTTGTCCTGTCTCCGTACCTTTTCAACCTGTATGCAGAACAGATTATCCGGGAGGCTGGGCTCTATGAGGAGAAATGTAGTGTTAGGATTCGTGGAAGATCTATTAACAATCTGTGTTATGCAGATGGCACAACCCTGCTTGCTGAAACTGAGGAGGACCTGAAGCGCTTGCTGTGGAGGGTCAAGAATTGCAGCCTTCAATGTGGATTGAGGCTCAATATCAAGAAGACAAAGATTCTCACCACTGGACCAATTAGCAGCATCAGGATGGATGGTGAAGAGATGAGATTGAGATTGTTCATCTTTAGAAGTCATCTTAAAACCACATGAGAGTTTAGCTTAACAAGTAAAAAGTATCTGCCTTGGTTATTAAGATTCTATATCTACATTGGATTAAACTGAAAACAGCAACTTGAAAGATTACACAGGAATTTTAAGGGCCAGTAAATGAATGTGAATGTGAGAGGATAACTCAGAAAAGGAGGCTGAGAACGTTGACACACCTTGAAGAATGTGACTAGTGTCAGTCATTAAATGGTACACATGCAAAGTACTGAATTGATGTATATTTTACTGTATATTATTTTTAAAACTTTTTTTAAAAAAGGCTTCAGGAACTGACAGAATACCAACTGAAATGTTTCAACAAACCGATGGAACAGTAGAATATACCCATGTTAAGAAATGTGAAAGATTGCTACCTGACTGACCAACTGAAAGAGATTAATATGTATAGTCATTCCAAAGAAAGATGATCTAAAGGCAAGTGGAAATTATCAAACAATATCCTTAATATGACATGTAAGTAAAATTTTGCTGAAGATAATTTAAAAACTATTGTTACAATACATAGGAGCTGGTAGAAATTCAGACTAGATCTGGAAGGACAAGGGATATCATTGCTGATGTCAGGTAGATCTTGGCTGAAAGCAGAGAACACCAGAAAGATGTCTACTTGTGTTTTATTGATTATGCAAAGGCATTTGTGGATTACAACAAATTGGACAACATGGAGAAGAATGGGAACTCCCAGAACACCTAATTAAGCTCATGTGGAACCTGTGCAAGAACAAGAAGCAACTGCTCACAGAGAATGCTGCATTGCTTAAAATCAGGAAAGATGGGTGTTGTGGTTGCATCCTTTCAATCTGTGTGCTGAGCAAATAATCAGAGAAGCTGGACACTATAGAGAAAATCCCATATTAGGGTTGGAGTAGGAGTCACTATAACTTGCGAAATATAGATGACACTTCAATGTGGATTTTATCTCAATATAAAGAAAACAAAAATCTTCATAAAATAAAATCCTCACCTATTTTTCAAAAGACATGGAGATGTTTTAGTAAAGCACCAAAATGATTCAGCAATGACAAAAACATAACCTAGTGTGTACTGTCAATTCTGAGTTATCATAAACCTACAAAACAGAACAGAACTGACCCCCGAGGTTTAAGGTTTTGTTGCTTTGAGGTGTGTTTTTTTTCTTATGCGAATAAAAATTTATAAATCATATTGAATTACATTCAATTATTCATACCTATTATGTTTCAGAACATTAATTACAATTGATGAATTATGTCTCATCAAACTTTTATTTGTTGCCTTTCTCTTTACTCAACTTACTTTGGTTCCCCCCATCCCATCTCACTTCTTTTAACCTACCAAGATAGATTTTTTTCTGTAACGACACTAGTTTTATTTCTCCTAAAGATACAGAAATATTCATAATGTAGGTAAAACATTATCAACTCTCTGGTTAAAATGCTGTACCTGTTTCTGATTCCCCCAATTCACCTTGCTAATATGTTTGTATCTTTGCTTATATAGTTTGCTCACCCTGCCTAATGTACTTCCCTGGTAAGCAATTATTAATTTTTCAGTATACAACATTGGCTACTCCCTCTAAGAAGTCTTCTCTATACACACTGTAAAGTGTTAGCACCTTTATCTCCTACTTCTCTGTGATACACAATCTTAAATTATTACATTTAACTTATAATAAATAAGCCATTTAATCTCTTTCCTTACATCTTGTTTGTATAGTGGTGTCATTTACATGGGACATTCCTTCCACTATTCTTTGCTTATCCAACTTTCACTCAGTTAGGTGTATTCTCTTTGTGCAAACTTCTAGACTGATGTTCCCATCTTCATAATAATCTGTAAAGTATCACTGCTTTCTTCAAATTTCTCTTTCCCCTCATTAAAGAATAACTTTTTTTTTTTTAGAATAACTTGATAGCAGTCATATGTCCAAGTAATTTTCTTTAGGAACATTGTTATTAAGGTACTGAATTCTCAGTCAAGAGGGCACATTCTCCTCCATCTCTTACCGTGGTGGAGTATCACCAAGTTGGACAAAAGGTTCACTCCTTTTTCAATCTTAAGGTCTAGTCAAGGGCGAAAGATGGGCAATCTCCTCCTGTGCAGCCTCACAAACCAGGGAGAGGGTCATCACATCAGAACCAAGTCAATGTCTATGACCTGGTTTTTTGGGCAGTTTAAAGTCAAACAAAATTCCTAACACTCAATACTAACACAAGAACTGTATTTATTGTATGACTCTCTAGAATTTAGGCACTACTAAAAAAGAAAAAAAGGTACATGTAGCAAAAGAAATAATACAACTTTATTTTTCACTTTATTAACTTACGTTCTGGTTGCTTCTCATTGGGTGTTATGGATCGCACAAAATCTTGTGGAGTCATAAACACTTCAGATTCACCAGGCTCACTGATAACTTTCAAGGTAGCAAAATACCGGAAGATTTTGTCAGGTGTAGAGTAGGCGCGAATTCTGTTCTCATATTCCATCACCTGAAAGTGGAAATTTAGAATGTGCTATTGTATCAAGCAATATTCATTCTCATATATTTCCCATCTTCTTTTTGGGGGAAATTTTATTAGATTTTTTAACTTTTTTTAAATCCATTCATTCATTGTTGTACACTTTCCTCCCTGCCCACTCCTCCCCCGCCAGTTCACATTTCTCCTTGACAAAAAAAAAAAAAAAATCTAAATTAGAAAAAAGATCTTTTATTGTTGTGGAAATTATTGAACAGTATAATTCATATCACATGCAAGCAAGATTCCGCTGATGATTACCCAAAAATGACTAGCACATCAACAGAGAACCGCCTGAAGTGCAGGTGGATTTAGAAGAGGCCATGGCACTAGGGATACTATAGCTAACATTAGATGGATCTTGGCTGAAAGCAGAGAGTACTAGATGAATGTCTGTCTGTGTTTTATTGACTATGCAAATGCATTTGACTGTGTGGATCACAACAAACTGTGGCTGACTCTGAGAAGAATGGGAATCCCAGAAGTGTGCTTATGGGAAACCTATACTTGGATCAGGAGGCAGTCGTAAGAACAGAGGAAGGAAACACTGCATGGTTCAAAAGTGGGAAGGATGTGCGTGAAAAATGTGTCTTATCTCCATATCTTTTCAATCTCTATGCGGCACAGATTATCTGGGAGGTTGGGCTCTATGTGGAGAAGTGTGGTGTCAGGATTGGAGGTAGACTTATTAGCAATCTGCGTTATGCAAATGATATAACCCTGCTTGCAGAAACTGAGGAAACCCTGAAGCACTTGTTGCAGAAGGTCAAGGACTGCAGCCTTCAATATGGATTGAAGCTCAGTATCAAGAAAACCAAGACTCTCACCACTGGGCCGATTTGGCAGCATCATGATGGATGATGAAGAGATTGAGATTATTGACAGCTTCAGTTTGCTTGGCTCTACCATCAACACTATTTGTACCAGCAGCCAGGAAATGAAAAGATTAATTGTATTGGGGAAAATGTCTGCTGTCAAAGACCTCTCCAAAGTACTGAAGAGCAGTGATGTCAGTCTGGAGAATAAGGTGCATCTGATATAGGCCGTGGTCTTTGCAATTACTTGCTATGTATCAAAGCACTGGACAAAGACTAGGGATGATAGAAGGAGAGTCGATGCCTTTGAGCTGTGGTGCTGGAGAAGAGTACTGAATATACCATGGACTGCTAGGAGAACAAACAAGTTCATCCTGGAGAGGGTGAAGCCAGACTTCTCCTTGGAGGTAAGGATTCTGACGCTTCATCTGACATACTTTGGACATGTTGCAACACAGGTTCAGTTCTTGGAGAGGGACATCCTGCTTGGGAGCGTGGAGGGACAGCGCAGGAAAGGAAAATGCTGGACGAGATGAATTGATTCCATCTGGGGTAATGAGAATAGGTGTGTTGGAGACAATAAGACTGGCAAAGGATAGAGCAGGGTTTAGGGCTATTGTACATAGGGCCACTATGAGTTGCAGGCAACTTGATGGCACAAAACAACAACCACAACAACATACAATATATTGTTGCTACTGCTGTTTTGTACTGTAGGGTTGGAACCAACCCATAGCTGAACCTCTGCCAAGTTTTCAGAGGCATTTAATTGCACTGGCGGAGTTTGTCCATCCTTTTCCCGCTGAGCAGCTGGTGGCTTTGAACCCTGAGCCTTCAAGACTGCAGTGAAGCTTCTTGCCACTAGGACACCAGAGCTCCCTACAAACATTCTATACTATATACCATACCATACCATACCATATCATACCAATATTTTACATTAAAAATACGTATAATTTTTAAAAATAACTTAATTTCTTTCATGCAAAATGCAATTCATATTCCAATTGTAGAGATACTCGTATAACTTTTGTTTAGAATTTTCTGAAGTTTTATAACTTCTCAACTCTTAAATGATAGCAAAACTGGAAAATGTCATGAGAGAACTGAAAAGGTCTCAGTAATCAATTATATAGCCAGATATAGATGGCTGCCTCCAGAGTCATTAAGGAGCTCTGGTGGCCTAGTGGCAAGAATCTGCACTGCAATTCTGAAGGCACACAATTTCAATCTACCAGCTGCACCACGGGAGAAAGATGGGCAATTCTCCCTTGTGAAGAACTGCCTCTGAAAACCTGCCAGAGGGTCAGCTAAGGGTTAGTTTTGACTTGATGGTACACAACAACAAATAGAGTCGCTAGAGAGCTCTGGTGGCCTAGAGGTAAGAAGCTGTGCTGCAATCTCAAAGGCATGCAGTTCAAATACAGTAGTTGCTCTGCCAGAAAAAAGATGGACAATCTCCTCCTGTACTATGAACTGCCTCTGAAAACTCCATGGAAGGTCATCTTTGGGCCAGTTGTGACTCAATGGTACACAACAACAGGAATACAGAGTCACTATGAGTCAGAATTGACTGAACAGTAATGAGTCTGGCATTTACAGATTCTTAAATACTATATTTTGAAAAGTGTATTAATTTTACAGTTAAATCTATGCAACTTCCTGAATCTAAAAGAGACTTGAGATTTTCACAGATTTGAATAGCCAAGAGTCCTTCAAAGACTAAGAATATTAAAAACGACACAAAAAAAGTAAAATCGTGTATCATGGAAACTCAATGAACAGTAAGACTTTTATTTACAAAATTTACTATTAAGTTCAGTTGTCAGTGATGTTCTAAAATATGGCATCTTTAGAAAACAGCACAGCTGAGGAGAACAGAAGAAAAGCTTGATGCACACCCATGTTTATTGCTGTGTTGTTCACAACAGCAAAAGATGGAAGCAACTCCAGTGCCTATCAACAAAGGAATGGATAGAGAAGCTGTGGTATATTCACACAAAGGAATACTACACAGCACTGAAAAACAAGGAACTCAAATACACAAAATGGGTGACCCTAAAGGACATTATGCTGTATGAAATATCTCAGTCACAAAAAGGACAAATACTGCTTAATGCCACTGTTACAAAATGGGACTGACATGGGGGTTGGGGGGGAAACTAAGAAAAGAGGGGGTAAATAATGAACACTGCATTGAAATAGATGAGAGGGAAAAAATATATGATTAGGTATTATTTGCATGAATAAGAGGTGCATAGAAAAGTGGACTGGGGAGCAGGAGAAGGGAGGAAATTGTGCAACAGTGACTCTTTTTAAAGAGAAAAGTGAACTTGGGGACTACGGAGAAAAATGTGCAACAATGAATGAATGGAAATTCAAGTCTTCTGTAAAGTTTCATTAAAATACCAATAAAAAAAGAAGAAAGCTTGAATCAAGCATATATTTAACCAAAAGTCTGCAGTTAATTCATAAATTAATATGAAAACTTATCTTTTATCTGTCATTGAAGTTCCCATTCTGTGCACAGATCATACAAAACATTGTTAGCAATTTCAGTGAAAATTTTTATCTGTTGAGTTAAATATTGTTGTTGTTTGCCATGGAGTCAGAACCAATTCTTAGCTGACCCTCCAGCAGATTTGCAGAGGCAAAAAATCGAATGAGAGGAGAATGATGGATTTAAACTGTGTGCTTTTGGGACTGTAGTGTAGCTTCTTACCACCACGTAAGAGTAGAACTCTGTTGTTTTTAGCTGTCAATGAGTCAAGCATGACTTTTAGCAACAGTGATAGTGCATTTCTATTAAGTCCTGATGTCAGAGATAAGGCACACGGTTTGAAATGAAGGTTGGGGAAAGACTCTGGAAAAAGTACTAAGCAGCAATATTTTATAAATGTATTTTGTCTTGAACACTTTGTCTTAAAAGATAGCCTATAACACTCAATCTGTAAGATAATATCTATCCTCCTCTAACACCCAACTTTGTAAGTCAATATTTATCCTCCATATAAAGGAAATTCTTCTCTTTATCTCTGGTCAGTTTGTGTCCATTAAGAATAATGACCAGCTGTCACTGAATGACCTTTGCAAGTCCCAGTTCTATGATACCAATCTCAATAGACAAAAAAGCAAATTCATTTTTGACAGTGAAACTAATAAGACGTAAGAGTCTTTACACTGATGTTCTTAATGTCACTGAAAGTTAGCCCCAATAAAATGAAACAATAGTTTTCAATTTATATTTTTGTCTCCTCAATTTTACCCATACTGAAAATCAGTGGTCTAATCATTCTGATCCTTGGTCTTTCTTTTAAAACAAATATATTAATTATTCTATATTAAATTGCTACCACAAATAGATTCTAAAACTCAAATAAAATAAAATTCTATTTCTCATTCAAGTACAGTCTGGAGTGGGTATTTCAGGTTCACAGGAATTCATAAGGTCTTAGTGAAACCCAAGTTGAAGCCAGCCTTGCCAAGATGTGTTTACTGAGGTAATTTCTAAGTCATCTTATTCTAGTTCTGATCTAGTCCTCCCTATTCTAATCCAAGGGAGAAAAGAACCATGGGAAGTGTTATGGGCCAGACCTGCAAGTGGTTCAGTTACTCTACTTAATGGACAAATCAAGCAATCTCTATTAACAGATAAAGTGAGATATCAAGGCTCAAGATTACATTTAGAAATCCTAAAGTCACTGAAATAGCAAAACATTAACTGACCTATAGTATGCCATGAACAAAGCCTTACAATCAAACTATGTTAAATTAGATGAGGACAATGGAATAAGTCTTTAGAGTTACAAAGATAAATGTTTGAATTCTGCCTCTACTAGTAACCAACTATATGACTTTAGACAAGTATCTAATTGCTTCAAGTTTCAGTTTTTTCATCTGCCAAATAAAGATTAGGTTAAATTACTGAGATATATACATACATATGTACAATATATACAGTGTTTGGCACATACAAAATGAAGAGTGGAGTACACTAGGGGGGATGGTGCAGAGGGATTGTATACCAATGAAGGAGTTTTTCTTTTGCGTTAAGGAGAAGAGCAACTGGGGGTGGGAGTGGGGTGGGCAGGGAGAAAAGTGCAACAATGAATGAATGGAAATCCAAAATCTCTGTAAATGTTCATTGAAATTAAATTTAAAAAGTTGAACAAATGTTAATTCCTTTATTCTCTGTATTCCTATTCATTTTGAAGTATTAAGTGCTCTTTGGGGGCAAGGATGATAAAGCTTCATCTCACTTTTGGCATTTTGGTAGAAATAATACTTGGAGAGGGTCATCATGTTTGGAAAGGTGAAGGGTTGGTAAAAAGAGAGGAAGAACTTCAACCAGGTGGATAGACACAGTAACTGCAGCAATAGGCTTGAGTGTGTCAGAGTCTGTGAGGATGGTCGACACAGGATAGGACAGGGTTCAGGTCTGTTGTTCACAGGGTTGCTATGAGTCATACTCAACTTTACAGTATCTAACAACAACAACAACAAAAAACTGAAATAGGTTTCTAGTCACTTGACCAGTTTTCTACGTATTCTGATGGGCATGCTTTAATATCGTAAATTGTATCAGCCAATTTAAGTTATATATAGTTGCAATAAAAAAAACGGTTTGACCTTTTAAAATAGTAATTTTATTCACTCATTTAAGTAATTTCCTTTTTAAAAATTAAAATTCCACTAAACCAAGGGTCAAACCCAGGCCACGCATGTAAAAATAATAATCCAGATCTCTACTGAATAAGAGCTCAAGAGACTGTAACATTTTCTGGAAGTGAATCTCACAATTTAAGGAGCAATTTTATTTCTGAAATGCACAGAGTATCTCGGGGAATTAAGAGTACTTTAGTTTACATCAATTAAGTCAGGAAATTTTTTTAAGAACTTTGAGATTCTGTTTCACATTTTCCTCCCATTCAGTCAAGATCTGTAGTCTTGATCAGTACAGCCAGTTCTGACCAGTAGGCAGGCACCATCTAGTTCTTCTGGTTTTAGGAGAGATGAGGCCCTGGTTCATGTAGACTATTAGTCCTGTAAACTAGTTTTTTCTTAGTCTTTTCTTTTGCTCCAGATAGCTATACACTAATAGCTGCATCTTAGATGGCCAATTTTTATTTTTTTAAATTTTATTATTTTTGTGTGAGTGTACCGTCAAATCAGATCTGACTGGTACAGGAGGAGATTGTCCCTCCTTCCCCAGCAGAGCATCTGGTGGGTTCGAACCATGCACCTCTGGGATTGTAGTTACAGCTCCTTGCCACTAGGCCACCAGAGCTCCCCAGATGGCCAATTTTTAATGCTCTAGACACAACTCACTAAACCATGATGTTTATGAACTATATTATGCCAAGTGATCATGCTGTCCCATAAGATCATGGGCAGAAAGTTTCAAACCTAGAAAATCAATCCTATATGCCATGTGGTTACGTCTAAGGAGCATCTAGAACTCTGCTTTCATTATATATACAGGAACACATATGAATATGCACATATACATATTCAGATACTTACATATATACATATTTCTACACATTTGGAAAGAACTCACAGCGAACCAAACGGCTATGAATCTCTAACAGATTCAAGTCACAGGAAAAAGATGGGCAATCTCCTCCTGTCAGGATTTATGACTCAGAAACCTGACGGAGGGTGGTCACTAGGAGTCAGAATCAACTCGGTGGTAGTGAATTGTTTGTTCACATAAATGACCACACATATGCTTTTTGGTTGTATGCCTAACAATTTCTTAAACAATGAAACTAAACCAGAAAACAATCAGGTTATATGTGGGGATCGTAAGCAGTAAATTCAGAAGAGTAGTTTCCTTCCGAGGAGGAAGGGAGAGGGATAGAGATGACATATACAAGCAATTTCAGCTATAGTTTTATATTAATTTCTTTAAATCTTAAGTAAGATAGCAAAATGTGAAATTTTGATAGAGCAAAATACTAAGTACATGAACGATTATTATTATATTTAACAAACATTTAAAGCATTATGTAAAGGAGAGAATATAAATGAGCCAAAACCTCCCAATATAACTGAAAAGTGAAGACGGTGGAAGATAATTCCACAGGAGTTTGGTCATAAAGAGAATGAAAGTGAACTGGACAGGAAAAAAAAACATGATCAAAAATGTGGTCTATGGGGAGCTCTGGTGGCCTAGTGGCAAGGAGCTGCAACTACAATCCCAGAGGCACACGGTTCGAATCCAACAGATGCTCTGCCGGGAAAGGAGGGACAATCTCCTCCTGTACCAGGTCAGATCTGATTTGACGGTACACTCACATAAAAATTAAAAAAAAAAAATGTGGTCTAAAAATTAAAGTTAGACAAATCTTAAAATAGATCACACAGAATATGTAAAAGAATGAAGAAAAATCAAGAGAGAGTAGAAAGGACAAAATTATTGAGGAGACATTTCATACACAGACTCAGATAGGTTTTCAATTGGAGTTAGAAATAGAGTGAATTACGCTAATAGCTTAAATTTTTCTGCAAATATGAGACAAACTCTCATCACTTAAGTAGATGGCAAGAATAAATAATAAAAGTAGATTCAAAACTAATTATAGAAATTTGGGTTATTTTAGCTTCATTTTGAAAAAGGTTAAGTTAACTGTAACTAAAAATTCTAAGGTAAATTTGAACTCTCTTCTAATTCACTTAGGGCAAGTGAATAAATATAGAAAACACTATATTTATGGATTATATTTACTTATGGAAACACTAGGATACTTAATGATCGATTAACCTGAGATCCACAATTTTTGTTCAAATTCAGTCCAACTGCATATGGATTTGGGAAATAAAAAGATATATATAATAAGTTAAACTAAACATTTAAAGAACTCTGAAACAGAATCCAATTGCTCAAAGTAATTTTTGCGTACACACTAAATCACTGAAAGAATTCCAATTAACTTGTTGCACTGAAAAGCTACAGTTTAGCAACTAAAGGTGAATTCCTGAATTTTAACCTGAACATTGAAAATGTCTAAGAAATTCATCTTCTGATTTTTCACCATTGATTATCTTCTCAACTCAAATGCTGTATCATAGTGAAAAAGTGGAAGAGTCCTAAAGTACAGCTACTGCACAAGCTGAGTATGCTGTATTAGTAAAACACTTTTTAAGTTTATGCTGCCCTCAAAGTTATTTGCTTTGTAGATAGATAGATATCTATCATATACTTTGGGCATGTTGCTAGGATGGGTTATTCCTTGGAGAAGGACATGATGCTGGGAAGGGTGGAGGGTCAGCAAAAGAAAAGAAGACCCTCAGTTAGGTGGACTGACATGGTGACTGCTGCAAAGGGTTCCCTGTGTGTCAGGAAGTGTGAGGTTGGCAAAGGATAGACAGGGTTCAGATCTTTTATTTATAGGGTTGCTATGGACTCAACTTGACAGCACCTAACAATAACATCATTCATAATACCACAAAGACAACACACAGACTTCTCTTCTCTCTCTCTCTTATATATATATAATATTATATAATATAATAAATATATATTGTATAGAATATATATATTAAGATGCAGAAAAGAGTTCCCTTAGGTAGGTAGAAGAAAGAAAAGCTATCCTGGTTATCCATCCTAGGTAGAGTCCTTTAATTTCACATTCCAAAGGCAGCTTTGGTATTAACTATGATGAAAAATAAGAAAAGTTGTGAATAAATTAAAAATTAATAATCTGAAATAGACAATAAAAGAGACTAAGTGGCATTATGCTGCAATGAACTATCATTCTGATTAACTTATAAGATTGTGTTTCATACTTTTCTGTCTCTGAATCCAGAACGTTTCTTCTTTTTCTCTTCTGGATAAGGCTCAAGACAAGTATCTGCAGCCTTTTTTTCAGGGTCACAAACTTCCCCTTCATCTTTACTCTTTCCTTCAGTCTTCAGGTTGTTTACTGATGATGGAGATTCTGCATGAGCCCTGAATGTGCAAAGAAGAAATCAGTATTAATCATGAAAGTCTGGTAAGTAAACAAGTACTTTCAGATACAATATAGTAGCACAACAGCAATGGAATTCATCAGTGATTCTATATAAAAATTGTTGAGCTTTCCAGATGTATTCAGTTACCAACAACAAATAAAACTTGAATATTCAGTAGAAGCCTCTCCAGTTGATTACAGACTGAAACTGGCGATTTGCTCCATGAAGTTTTTCTCAACTCCTTCAGGCAAGCTCTAATCTTTCAAATTCCTACACTGTTTAGCCACAGCCTGAAACTACATCTTCTATATGGTTACTTACGTTTTTCTAGAATCTGTTTTGCAAGCCAACTACTATACGGAATCAAATGACATAGCTTTTGTTGATGAGCCAAAAACTGTGAAATGCAAACAAGCAACATCATATGGTTCAACCTAACTGATAAAGTCATTAATAAAAGATTAGATCCTGTACTTTTTCTTTTCAGTTTTCATGTTGTCATGTGGTGTCAAGTCAGAATAGGCTCAGAACTACCCACCCCCCATGGTTTTCAGAGACTATAAATCACAGAGGAAGAAATCGTCCATCTTTCTCCTAATTTGAACTGCTTGTCCTTGAGTTGGCAGCCCAACTCTTTAACCATTAGCCTACCAAGATGTCCACTGAGTTTTCATAGGGCCTGGTAGAAAATACAAGCAATGCATCTGTGACTGATGAAGGAATTCAAATAGAAGTACTCATCTACGTTGGCCACAAAAGGGATTGAAAAAGTTATAGTGAGACTGAGGTACTGAAGGAAGGGGGAAAATTTTTTTAATGTATTCCTTTCATAGAACTATAGAAAAGATAGGGATCAATCATTTTTCTACTTGTTATTTACCTGCAAGTAACATTTTCTAAACATAAATATATATATTTATTTATTTATGTAAATTTGTAAGCAAAAACTATCATTGGTTCTTAAAAAGGTAAAGCCTACAAATAAGCAAGGTTTTTTTGATTTGTTTGGTTTTTCTTTTTTCATATCATAGTTTAATTGACTTAAGCATCTTTTCAAACCTGGCACAAGAACAACCTTCTGACCTTAATTCAAATTTCCTTTCAATCTTGATCAAGTGATATAGTGGTTGACATCACTGTTTTAAATCCCTCTTGAGAGCTTTATATATTGAAAAGATGATGAGCTACTTCAAGTGGAGACTCAAGTTAAAATAGCTGAAGATCATCCAAAAGTGGCTAGAACAGTACATAGATAGGGAACTGCCAGAAGTTCAGGCAGATGTTAGATGGATCCTGGCTGAAAGAAGAGAATACCAGAAGAATGCTTATTTATGCTTTATTGACTATGCAAAGGTATTTGACTATGTGGATCATAACAAACTATAGCTAACATTGAAGAATGGGAATCCCAGAACACTTAATCATGCTCATATGAAACCTATACCTAGGACAAGAAGATGCTGTCCAAACAGAACAAAGCAACACTACATGGCTTAAAAATCAAGAAATGTGTCTATCAGGGCTGTATTCTTTATTCATACCTACTCAGTCTGTATGATGAGCAAATCATTCAAGAGGCTAGACTCTATAAAGAGGAATGAGGCATCAGAATCAGACAGAAGACTCAGCAACAGATTGCATTATGTAGATGACACAACCTCACTTGCTAAAAGTTAAGAGGACTTGAAACACTTGCTGCAGAAGATCAAAGACTACAGCCTTCAATGTGGATTGAATCTCAACATCAAGAAGATAAAATTCCTCACCACCAAGCCAATAAGCATCATAATAGATGAGGAAAAGATTAAAATTGTCAACAATTTCAACTTGCTTGGATCAACAAGCAACCCTCCTGGAACCAGTAGTCAAGAAATTAAAAGATGTATTGCACTGGGAAAGTCTCCTGTGAAGGAATACTCTAATGTAGAGGAGCAATGGTGTCAGTTTGATGATTAAGGTGCACCTGATTCAAGCCATGGTCTTTTCAATCACTTGCTGAAAAATTAATAAGGATGACAAGAGAATAATCGATGTCTTTGAGTTGTGGTGTCAGAGAAGAGTATTGAATAGCCCATAGACTGCTAAAATAATGAATGGATACGTCTTGAGGTAGGTGAAACCAGAGTGCTCTTTAGAGGGAGAGATGGCAAAGTTTTGTCTCACTTATTTTGGGCATGTTGTTAGGAAGGGCTATTCCTTGGAAAGGGACATCATACTTGGAAACATGGAGGCTCAGTATAAAAAAGGAAGACCCTCAACAAGATGGACTGACATGGTGACTGCAACAATAGGACTCAGTATGTCAGAGACGAAGAAGATGACACAGGATAGCACAGGGTTCAGATCTGTTGTTCACAGCATTACTGAGTCATAAATGACCTGATGGCAAATAACAGCAAAGATTTAAACAAGTTCTTTTTGTTTGATAATCATTTTTATCTTTGCATGTGATTTAAAAATTTAGTTTGTTCTAGAACTCTCTCCTACTGTAGGGAGGTACAGAGGGGGAAAGAACCCCTTTTCCTAATATAGTAAGTATCTTGGGTTTCTTGCTTTCTGGTTTTTAAATTATCAGATAATTCTTATACTAAATAATCTGCCCCATTTTAAAACAAAGCAAAGCAGCGAGCCTTTTGAAAATTACTAAGGTACTGTCAGAGGGAGTATAAGTAAACTTGATTTGAACACATGAATGACTAACATAATGGTGTTTAATGTTTTTAATATTTTGAGAGTCAATTTTCAAAAATTAACAAACAAAAGTAAGTTGTTGTCACTGAGTCAATTTTGACTCCTGGAGGCCACATAGGGGTCGGAGAAGAATTGTATTTCTTTATTTTTTGTTCTTCATATAAATGGAAATATGAAATATAAAATATATAGTCCAATATTTTCCAGTTTAGCTGTAAAAATTCATCATTCCATTTCCATCCTCAACAACAGCAAAAAATATGTGAAAAACTACAAATCAATACATGTTCTTAAATCCATTAGAAAATTGAGGTCACAGAGCAAACCACTTCTGTGAAAACTAAAGACAAGCTTATACAGAGAAGCCTATACACAATAATAATCTTAAAAGATAAAAATAAAAATTATTACCCAGAAAGCATAATGGGACTACCAAGGCATAAAATCACTCACTGTACAATTATCACAGGTTAAAATATTGTACTCACTTTATGGAAAAAGTTTCTGCAACTGACAAAGTCTATTACTAGGGCTTTTTTTTCTGCACATGGTAAAGCATTATCCTCTCAAAAATGTAAAAAGATAACCTATAGAAATAAAATATTAGCAAACTATATGGCTGATAAGGATTTCATATTCAGTATATATGAAGAATTCTTACAACTAAAATACTCCAAATCAAGAACAATTTTTAAATAGACAAAGGACTTAAATGGAAAAATCTACCCAAAAAAGATATATAAATGGCTTGTAACAAGCACATGAAAGATGTTCAATGTCACTGGACACTAAGGAAATGCAAATAAAATCATAATGTGATACTACCTCACACTACTGTGGTTTTCATTTAAAAAAAAAAAAAAGAGGAACAATTACACGTGTTGACAAGAATGTAGTACAATAGGAAGACTTATGCTGCTGATGGGAATGGAAGTGGGGCAGTAGCTCCTCAAAAGTGAATAAAGCATCACAACAAAATAAAGGTAAACAACCCAACTAATAAATGGGCATAGGCTATGAACAGACACTTCTCCAAAGAAAACAGTCAGATAGCAAACAAACACATGAAGAAATGCTCAAAATCTCTAGCTCTCAGAGAGGATGTAAATCAAAACAACTATGAGTTATCATCTCACCCCAATAAGAATAGCAAAATTAAACAGAACAGCAAACAACAAACAAATGCTGATGAGGCTGTCGAGAAACTGGAACCCTTATTCTCTGTTGGTGGGAGTGTAAAATGGCATAGTCCCTATGGAAGGCTGTATGGTGCTTTCTCAAAAAGTTGCAAACAGAAATACCATTTGACCCAGCAATTCCACCTCTTGGAATGTACCCCCCAAAAAACATAACTGCCACCCAAGCAGATATATGCACACCTATTTTTATCATGGCTTTGTTCACAATAGCAAAGAGTTGCAAACAACCTAAGTGTCCATCAACAAATAAATGGCTAGAGAGGCTCTGGTATATTCACACAATGGAATATTATGCTGCACTGAAAAACAAAGAACTCATGCAATATTATACAAAATGGGTGACCCTGGAGGACCTTATGCTGAGTGAAATATCTGTCACAAAAGGACAAACACTGCATAGTGCCATTGTTGTAAAACAGGACTGACAGTGGGGTTGGGGTGAGACAGAGAAAGATGGGATAAATTACGTATACTGCATTGAAACAGATGAGAGAGAAAACTGTTTAAAAGAGATATGATTAGGTATTATTGTCATGACAGGAG